ATTTCTAAAGAAATAATGATACAGTCTAATTTATTGACGCTAATAAAGAGTAAATTTAAATACATATTAATATTTTATATTATAATTTTTTTATTAATATAAATAATTTTCTTTATCCTTTGTTGTATGTTTAAATTAATATTAAAAATGAATTTCACTGTAGAGAAATCTTAGCAGGACTTAAATGTCTTCTTAAAGATAAAATAGAAAAATATAAGTTGTTATGTCCGAAAGATTGTTAGCCGAAAACATGGGTTTATTTATTATAAAAATTATTAAATACTAACGTGCCAAATCAACCGTACTTAATCTTACAATAAGATATTTTATATCCTCCCAATATGAGTATTTTTAAATTATACCTTATAATTCTATTATTGAATTACAAAACCCTTTGTCTTCTGTATCAATTTTGTCTAAAGAATCTTATAAAAACGTATCTTTTGAACTTATGTCTAAATTTTACTAAAAATTTCTTTGTTTTTAATAAATACAAAAATATTAATTTATATGAAGACATTGATAAACCTGAATTTAATCTATAATATTACAGTTTTGGAAACCGTAGATCAAAAATAATTTTATACAAACAAAAGTTAGAAGCTTTAGTGCATTATTGAAATAATAAGTATTTTTTATGTTTTCCAAAATGTGAAATTTTAGATCTATGAACGTAAATGATTTTGTTTTTATTACAGCAATTATAATTGTGATTTAGATTTGATTAATGAAATAAAAAATATAACAGGATATATAAGAAAAGAAGTATTTTAAAGTTTAGGAAACAAGAATTTTCATGTAGCTAGTTGGAAGTAATTACTGATAGTTATTATATTTTTAAAGAGGTACTATAATTTATTTTCGATGAAGAATTTGTACTCGTAACAAATTTGAACATTCTCAAAGAATTAATTCTCGTATTATGTATTTTAAAGAAAAAATGACCTATTTTTTTCTAAAATTGATTTTTTATCACTTTCAAAAGGTATTAAATCTATTATATTAAAAAGAGTAGATAATAGTGACTATAATCTTAGTGAGCTAATATTTTTTGCAAATAAAAATGAAAAAAAAAACACCAAAGAAATATATATTAAAATCAATTATATCTATGGATGTTTAGATGCCATAAGTTTATTTTTAGCAAAGAGTGTGATATAGGATGTAAATTTGAACTTTAAATAATATTATTATAAGTTGTATATATTTTTTCTATGTACTTTTGTCATTTATTACAATTCTATGGTCTACTTTTAGCAATTTTATCAATAAAACCAAATATCTCATATTTTTTGCAGAGGTCTAGTCGTATAAGCACAAGATATTCAATATCAAATTTTTTAGAGAACTTAAGTTTATTTATATGCAAATTGTAGACACTAAATTGACTGATATTTAGATAATGTGAGTTACTAAAAAGGAAATATTTTTATGTTTTAGCTAATGTATCGGCGTGAGTTTAAAAGATGTCTTAAAAAAGACATTTTAACAATATTCTAGTTTTATTTTTAATTTTTTAGTATAAAAACCTATAAAAAAATTTTAATAAATGGCATTTATTGTTTCTAAAATCTAAGAATAATTTAGAATATCTTTATTAACTCAATAAAATTTTAATAAAATATCTAGATTTCTATCATTTTGCAGCGCTTAGTAGTTAAAGCCACAATGTTTACTTTTTGTTTTATAATATAACGACAAGTGAAATTATATTATTATTTTTTTAGTTAGTTTCGATAGTCGTTATTTGTAAAAATGATAAAATCAACTTACAATTATAAATTCTGGATAAATTTTTTTAAATTTATGCTTTATTATACACATTTATTTGTTATTGAAATATGCAGTTTTATAAGGGAAATAATTCTTATAAAAGAATATACCACAATAAAAATTGCTAACTTACCTAAAATAAAATCAGAAAAACAGATAAATAAGATAAAGTAGAGTTGTTTGTACATTTATCATCAAAACAATGTTTTATAAGTTTTATAAATAAAACACAAATAAATTTTATCCCTTAAAATTTAATACATGTTAAATAATTCTTCTAATATGTTTAAAAAGTTAAATGTTCCAACAAAACAAGATAAAAATTATTTATTAAAATATCGTTCATACTCTTCACGGTGTATTGAACAACTTAAAAATATAAAATTTAAGCAATCTAATGATACAATAACAGCAGCTATTAATATGGAAGATTCAAAGGAATCCACTGAGCTTATAGAAAATAAGCCTTTTAATTATAGAACACTTTTATGTAAATTTTTTTTGGTTAATGCATGTACAAGAGGTGATAATTGCGCATATTCACATGATACAACACAGTTTCCGTGTAAGGCATTTTTCTTGCGACAAAATTGCAAAAGAAAAAATTGTATGTTTTCTCATAACTCTGATACACTTGATAAATTAGATGAACCCTTTGAGGAAACACAAGACGCTAAAATTGAATCTCCATTTTTTTAATTCTAATAAAAAATAATTATTTTATAAAAAAAATATTCTTATAGGTAAATTTAAAACTTTATTCTGTTACCTATTCTCTTTACTTTTTTTATCCAACTCTTCATAAAATTTAACTAATCTTCCAACACGGTTCTTTCTTATATTTTGTAATGTTTGTGAATAATTTTCTTTGTCATTTTCGATAAATGTTATTGTAGACTGTGAAGAAGAGCTTGGTGAAAGTTCAACAGTTTTCTCTATTTCTTCATTATTTCTTTGTTCACTTTGTTCCGATAAATGAATTTCAACTTCAACATAATTTGCACTTTCTTCGAAAAAAGTAGACCTACTTTTTTTATTAGATTCTTCATTTTCCGTTAACACAGAAGCATTTTGTGATTCTGTAGTTGCTTCTGAATCCTTTTTTGGTGCACATACATACACCTTTTGTTCCGATTTTGTTGTGTTTTCAGGTGCTAACTCGCTCGAATTTTCATTGCTTTTTTCCTTGCTTGTTGTTGTAAAAACTGCTTTTTTAACGTCAGAAAGCGTAGATGGTTCGGTAGATTTTTGTTTTGAAAGAGTAGAACGACTCAATTTTTTTTTATCATAAATTACTGTGGACAAATTTGCTTCATTTTTATCTACAGCCGTAAGCTCTGGTTGAGAAGCCTGTTTATTTAATAAAGGTAAAATTTTTTGTATTTTTTCTCTTACAGTAGAAAAGGTATTATCGTTTTCATTATTTAAAGTATTTTGACTTATTAAAGCATCTGATGAACTAGATTTTTGATTTTTATCTTTAAACTTTTCACTCATTTCAGCATTAGATTCCAAATTAAGACTTTTTACATAATAATCGGATAATTCAGATATTTTAGATACCGTAGATTCGGTAGATGTCGGATGACTTTTTGAAAGATTTTCGACTATTACATTTTCTTGCAACATAATATCTTTTACATCTTCTTCAGTACCCGGTTCGCTTTTATTTAATGAAATTGAAGAGATAGACTCTTCTTTAACATTTTCTTTTTCCATTAGTTGTGTATTATGATCAATTAGTTCATTAACAACTAATTCATTCTCCTTTAAACCTAGGACATCAGCTAGTGTATCTGTTCCCATAGAACATACAGCCGTTCCTGCCAAATTATTAACCATTTGTTGTAGAACATCTTTTTCAGCTTGAACGATATCTTCTTTATTGCCCATCATTTCTAATTCCTGATTCATGTCATTTGTTTTATCTTCAAATACATCTAGATTCGGTAACTGTGATTTATTAACCTTTTCTTCAACTAGATGCAATGACATTCTGTCTCCATTTAATACCGTATTAAGAGAATCATTATCTATTTTTTCTGCGTGTTTATTATCAATAGACTTTTCACGACTCTCTATTTCACTACTTTCTGTCTTCTCACTGCTTGAACTATCAAATACTCCTTTTGTTAATAAACACTCTCCATTAGAGATTGAACTACAAGATGAAAATTTCTGTTCTTCTGAATCTTCATTTTGATTTTTCATAACACAATTACAGTCTTCACTTTGTATTCCATGTCCACAGTAACATATTACTAATGCATTGTTTTTTGCAGTGTTATAGTGAGATATTTCTAAAATAGTTGGCTGACTTTCTTTAATTGGTTCGATGTTAGTATTTTTTATCTCATTTACAATTTTACGCAATTTTTCTTGATATGAAAGTTTTTTTTCTGCTGGAGTTTTAATTTTACTGTACAACTGATTATTTAAATCGTCTTCAACATAATGATTAATTTCATATGAGTTTATTTTACCTTCATCGTTAACTATAAAAACATCGAAGGTGCCTGTTGTTTTTGTATTTTTCTTTGTATCTTTAATTAGTTCAGGAATATTATTTGTAAATACACAAGCAGCACCAAGTATTACTGATGGATCATTTTGCACAGATGAATCTACAGTTTCGTTCGCTTTTGCAGTTTCAGATAAAGATAAGTGCTCATTTAAATTAATTACTGTACCTTCACTATCTACTGAATGATAGCCACAAAAGGTTTTGCTGCTGATTTCATTTAAAACAGATTTTAAATTGCCGTCCATTTTATTCTGTTCTTTATCGTTATTGCATACTAGCTCTACAGGATTATCACCATCAACATTTTTAGCTTCATAAAAAGTCTTATTTTTTTCATCAATTTGGGTTTTTTTAGTTGCATCAGGAATAGCCGTCTTTTCTATCAAGCGACTAGATGATTTTAATTCCGTGCTCATCCCCTTTTGTTCATTCTTAGTTTCCGTGCTCATCTCCTTTTGTTCATTCTTAGTTTCCATGCTCATCTCCTTTTGTTCATTCTTAGTTTCCGTGCTCATTTCTTTTTGTTCATTTTTAGTTTCCATGCTCATTTCTTTTTGTTCATTCTTAATTTCCATGCTCATTTCTTTTTGTTCATTCTTAGTTACATTTTTTTCTGAACTTTCCATATATAAAACCAAAATATTGTTTTTATAATTTTTCCTTAAAAAAGAACCAATTAAAGACTTTGATTTGTTATTGGTCATAAAATTTTCTCCTGCAAAAAGTTTTAATTTTTAACCGTAAACTGTAAAAATTCTATGCCGATGGTAACATAAGAGGGGTAAATATTAAAAAGTTTAATTTTTGATTTTCAAAAGAAAAATAAAAAAGCTGCTTTTTTATTTATAAATGGTAAGTTGTTAATGTGTGTAGCATCATTTGGTTTTTTATCTAAAATTTTTCTAATGTTTGAATTGAAAGCAGAAATTAATTTTGTAAAACAAATTTGAATATTAGTTATAATGCTAATTTCATTCGATATCGTTTAAAACTTTAAATTACGTAACTTGATGTAAAGAATACGCAGCATAACATTGTTTAAAACAAAATTTTTTAATTAAAAAACAGAAATGTCTTAAAAGGGTTTAAAAAAATTTCTATCTATTTATAATATGTTAATTTATACATTTAAACTTTAAATATTGGTTTATCTTACTTAACTAAAATATAAAAATTGATTTATTAAGTTTTTTAAGATTAACATATCACAAGCTATTTTTTTAATAAACATATTATGCTTGTTTAGATAACTTTATATGAATAAATTATAGTACAGCACAAATCCGCCTTAAATAATAATTTGTTTGCAATTTTTTGCTTTTTTTGTTTAAAAACAAGGATGTCTATCTATAAATATATAATTTTTAGTTAAACCTATTATTTTTTTACCCTTATGGATAAAGAGTTTGAGATATTACTGTATGGTGCAAGTAGCTTTACTGCAGACTTTATTATTCCCTATTTTGAGAACCTTTCAGTAAATGTTGGCTTAGCTGCTCGAAATATTCAAAATATCCGTGAGACTAATTTACCAAAAATACAATGTACACTTGTAGAGGCAGCATTAAAAACACAAATCTTAATAAACTGTGTGGGGCCTTATCATCTCACTGGTGAAGAATGCATTAAATCATGTTTAAACAATAATACACATTATATTGACATTTGTGGAGAAGTAAATTTCATTAGATACATTTACGATAAGTACAATAACGAAGCAGCGCGAAAAAAATTGTTTATAATACAAGCATGTGGTTTTAATTCCTTAATTGCAGACATGGGAACAGATTTATTGAGGCAGTGTTATGACAGAGATGTTGAAATTAAAAGTATTTTAGAAGTTAAAAATTGCACTATAAATTTTGGTAGCTGGCAGAGTTTATTGGATTCATTGGAAACATTTAATAATAGTAAAAAAATCAAAGATAAGTATATTAAAAGTAAAAAAACTCCTGAATACATGTATGATACTAGTTTAAAGTCGTACATTGTAAAATTCCAAAGTTCAGATTATTACATAGTTTCATTGACACAGAAACTCTTAAAAAGTTGTAATATGCTTACCTGTAACTATATAGCCTATGTTAAAGTAGATAATATTTTTTTATATTTTTTATATCTATTTTTAATAACTACTTTTTGTAAATTTAAATTAGGCAAAAAATTGCTATTGCGCTTTTATAAATTTTTTAGTAAAAATTTTGTCGAAAAATCTCTTCCTATCGATAAAATAAAAAAAGGTTCTTTTAAAATTACTTTTGAGAGTGTAGGAATGAAGAATGTTGAATATATAAGCAAAAATCTTGTAATTAGTGGACCAGACCCCTATACCACTACTGGTATATGTGTTAGTCAATCAGCATTAGTTTTAAAAGAAATGATTTTTAAAAGGAATATGGGAGATAATGTGTGTAATTTTCCCGGTGGTGTATTAACACCCGGATTTGTATTTAGAAATACAAAGCTACCAGAAAATATTGAATCGTTAGGTATTTCAATAAATCTATTGCAATAATTTTTTAAAAAAATACTTAAATCACAAAAAAATATTTATTAATTTTTATAATTGATCTGTAAAAATATTAAAAAGCTTATTTTTGGTTGTTTCTTGGCCATCACAAAGATAGTTAAGATATAATTCTAAAATTCGTCTATCATGTACAATTACATGTCTTATTTGATATTCATCCATGTTTTCAAAAATATAAATAATTTTTTTTATTTCTTTTTCCTGATGAGCATCTAAAGTTTTATATAATTCATCGTCAATACCATTTTCACGTATAAAATGTTCTATAAGAATAGACCTATAATAAAAAGCATTATCAATTTTTTGTCTGAAATTATTATTTCTCATTTCTAAACAACTTATTAAGTATTCAATAATTTGTTTCTTTTTATCCATAAATGATCTATTCACTATAGTTTCATGCAGAATATCTAAGGGCTCTAAAAATGCAGAAATAGATTTCTTTACTATTTCTTTTTTTTTATAAATAGTAAGTCTTCTACACAGAGGTAAAAGAAGAGCAGGACTAAAAATGGCACCGCCCAGATTTATAAATATCTTAGCTTCTTGTATCTGCTCTTTTGACAAAATAACATTTTCTCTATAAAATTCGAACCTTTCTTTCGAAAGGTTTACTGCTAGTCCATCTTCCCCATCTCGTGACTTATATAAAGCTTTTATCATGTGTAAGTATGCCTTGTTTTTTTTGTCTTCCATTAGAACAAGTTTGTTTTGTGCACGTTTTTCTAATTCAAGAATTTTATCTCTTGTTAAAGAAAGAGCTATTTGAGATTTATCGAGATCAAAGATTTTATTTCTCATTTCTATAAGTTTTCTTACTGTTATATTTTCTATATCTATTTTTGTAGAAAAAATATTAAAAAATTTCCACACACCTGGTCTTAATAATAAAATTTTTTTTGCAGTAAAAATTGTATTTTGAATAAAAGAATCCAACTCTTTTTCTTTTATAATTCCTGTAGAAACTAAAAAAATTACACTGTCTATTGAAATAAATCCTTCATATAAGATTTCTCTACTCAGATTTTTTATTGTGGGGATATTAATATCATCAACCGTGTATAAAGAAATATTTTGTTTTATTTTTGTATTTTCTAACAGTCTGCTAGTCTTATTTGACTTAAAATCCATAAGTGTTGTTATAAGAAAGTACAAGATGTGCATTGTTGTTTTGTTTATAAAATTTATAAAACAAACAAAGTTTTACAAGACTGCCCCCACCCTGATAAAAATTCTTAATTTCTTTATTGATCTGCAATTTACAGTAAACTAGTTTCTAAAAATTACTTTACTTTGAAATGCAAGAAATTGAATGCATTTATCGACTAGTTCTTTAAACTTAAGAACTTGTATAATTACAAAGTAGCAAATATAAACTAAGTAGCACAAAATATAATGGTTAAAAGTTTAATATTAAAGACGTTATTTAATAGCAATAAATATTATTTGTGTTTATTATACAAAATAGATAAAAATAATATTAATATAACTTTCTAAAGATTGATAAAATTTTATGTTGAAAAGATTATACCAGTTATTATTACTTAAACAAGATTTACTTATATATTATTGGCATTTTTAAAATGCCTATAGAATAAATTTAATGGCTTATAATAAATAAAACACCGTTTTTAAAAATAATTTCTACGGCTATATTTTTTTTACCCCTATTTATGAAACTTGCAGATATTTTAGATGTACCAATAAAAAAAAATGAACCAAAAGGACCTTTTTCTCATAAATTAGCTACTAATGAACAGGCTAAAAAATGTCGTGCATGTAGTGGATTTAGAGGGATTATTTTCAAATATGATATGACAATATGTAGAAGATGTTTTAGAGAATATGCTACTGATATAGGATTTAATGTCTACGATTAAATAATTTAACTTTTTGTTTTTTTCTAGTGTCTAATTAGCAACATATAGTGTCTAATCCTCTTGTATATTAAGCTACATTAGATTTATTATTTAAAAGCTTTACGTTTTATATTATTGTATTAAAATGGTAAAAAGATAAAATAATAAATATTTTATTTAAGCTAAACTGACAATACTAGTTCTTCGCACAGGCCTTTTTTTCTTATCAGGACTATAAGTTAAAGGTACATCTTTTATATTTTTAAATTTCGCTTTATTTTTTTTTATAATCTTGTTGTTAAATTTGATTTGAGGTCTAAGTGCATTACAAAACACTATAATGAAAGCAATTAAATCTGTGATTTCAAAATATTTAAATACGCATATAATAGCGATATTTATACTTAATTGTTTTACATCTTCAATATCATAATCTATATTCTTGTTAGTTAATATCTTTAAAAATAATTTAGAAAATACATCTGAAATAACCAAATAGGCTATAATACTTGTTAAATCTTGCTTATTGTTTTTTAGTCCTACGTAAAATAATGATGTACCAATCATTGGAAAAATTTTTACGAATTTTTTTATGTATGCAGACTTGCACACAATGGGAAACACCAGCAAGGACATAAAAAAAATGATAAGTAAATCTGTAGAAAAAACGAATTGTTTGTAAATCAAATTACCGATTAGTGGACCACCAAAAGATCCTATTACAGCAGGTACTAAAAGTTTTTCGATTTTTGGTTCAATACCTTGTAGTTGTAAATTAAATAGTGTATTGAGTACATTTCCAAGTGTAATTATAGGCAGCAATAGTCTCACGTCCATGTCTAAAAAAGACTGCATTATTATTTGTATAAATCAAATTTTTTAATAATAGTTAAAATTTATAAGGAGAAATTTTTTATTGGTTCTTGTATCTTATTGATATATTTGACAGGTAAAGTAACAACCTATAGAATGTGTTAAGTTATTCATAAAATTGTAAAACAATTATTTAAACATTTGTAAATTCTTTGTAATTTAATTAAAAATCTATAAACGATGTATGCTACAAACACAACTAATACTAAATATTTTTATTTAACGATTAGACTTAGCAATTCTTTCAATTTCTTCTCGTTTTTTAACAGCATAAGAATTTTGGGTGCAAGAACTGGCATTAATTAGCTCATCGGCGATACACTCAGCAAGTGTTTTTCTAGACTTAAATGCAGCTGCTCTAATGCCATTAGATAAAAGCTGAATAGCAATACTAACTCTTTTAGATGGAGAAATATCAACTGATGTTCTTTTCATTGATCCTCCTCTTCCAACTCTGGCAGTATCTTCCCTTGGTCCTGCGTTTATAATGGCATCAACCAATACTTGTAAAGGGTTCTTTTTAGTAAGGCAATGAATTATAAGAAAAGCATCCTCTACACAAATGTTGGCTAAATTTTTTTTTCCGCTATTTCTTCCATTTCTCATCAAAGAATTAACAAATCTGTTAATAACTGACAATTTGGCCTTACTTTTACTTTTTATCACAGCTCTAGATGCTTCATGTGGAATAATAAACTGCTTACTGACATTAATAAATGGTGCAATAGATTCATCAGCACAAACAATATCATTGTAAGAATATTTCTCAAATAGTTTAATTTCTGACATTTTAGGGGTTAAAAATTTAGCATGATTTTTTTAAGAAATAGAATCGATATGACATTTAAATGTAAAAAAAATCCTAATATTGAATGCGGCCTGGGAGATGTTTTTTATGTGTTGGTATATGGTGATACTACTGTTTTATATAAAAATAAAAGTGAAAAAATTTGTTATCCTATTCCTGTACATTATCCATCCTTCGTTCTATCCGTTGCGGGTAAAAACGTTAAACCTAAAGACATTTTCGAATTTAAGAACTCAGAAGAGATGAAAGCATTTGAAAATTATGTGGGAACCATTAAAATGGAAAAAGCTAAAATTATCAACGAGTTTAAACTTATAAAATAAATTTTTATTTTTTACCCTTAAATGCAGTCTACACAATCAGAAGCTCAAATTACTCAGAATGGACAAGCTATTAAAATGAACAATTCGACTTGTCAATCTTTAAAATCCTTATTTTCTGTTTCTCTAGGACCGAATGGTACTTTTAAGGCTATAATTACACCAGGACAGTCACTGACAATTACGAAAAGTGGTAGTGTATTGTGCAAAGATATTCAATTTATTAATCCTACATCTATTATCGTGACTAAAGCTGCCATGTCTTTATATAGTACAATTGGTGATGGTAGTACTTCCTTTATAGTGCTTTGTTCAGATATATTTAATAGCGCATTTAAATACTTCTTAGACGGTGTTTCTATTTCTTTTATTTGTAATAGTTTACAATGTAGCATTACTGATATTTCAAACTTTTTATTAACTAGTTCAGTTGAATTAGATAATGAAAATAAATTTGAATCATTAGCTTTTAATTTATTAAACACTAAACTTAGTAAGCAAAGTTCTAAATTGTTGGCACCGATACTAGTTAAAGCCGTTAAAAATATATCTGGATCACAGTTTCAAGATGTAAATATGATAGAAGTTATTAAAATGAATGAAGGAGATGTTAACGATACAAAGTATATTGACGGACTTGTATTAGATCATGGTAATAGACACTATGGAATGCCTACAAAGCTTGAAAATGTTGTAGTTCTTGTAACAAACATGTCACTTGAATACGAAAAACCAGAAATTAATGCGCAATTCATTTACAGTACATCTAGACAAAGAGAAGAGTTAGTTAAGCATGAGCGAGAATTTATACTCAAAAAGGCACATTTAATTGGAGAATTCGCCAAAAAAATAAAAACTGAAACGGGTAAAAGTTTATTATTAATATCAGAGAAAGGAATTGATCCCTTTTCTTTGGATATTTTGGCTAAGTATGACATATTGGCTTTAAGGCGTGCAAAAAGGCGTAACATGGAAAGGTTGATTTATATGTGTGGAGGAAATATTATTAGTGAAATTTCGCAACTAGATATTAAAAATTTAGGATATTGTTCAAAAGTCAGAGTCGTAACAATTGGTGAAGAAAAGTACACATATTTAGAAGGAACACCTTATAAAGGATCATGTACTATTTTAATAAGAGCAGACACTGATAATGAAATGAATAAAATGAATAATGCTATTAGAGGAGCACTAAAAGTTCTACATTCGACATATAAGGAAAAACGTATTATTTCTGGCGGTTTAAATTTATATAAAAATCTTATTAATTTTATCAATAAAAAATTAAACGAAGTAGATGAAAAGAGTGTTATTGGCTATGAAATTTTTAAAGAAGCATTTACAAACATGATGAAATATCTTTTAAGAAATAAAGGTAGTAATGTTTACGAGGATTTAGTTAAAATTCTTAGAGGAAATATTGAAGTTAGAGAAATTTATGATTCGTTCAATGTTGTTTCAGGTGTCATAAACAATAGTGCCATTGTTGCTATGAGTTTATTAATGGTTGATGAAATTATTAAGGCAGGTAAATGTGTTAAAGAAGAGAAATCATAATTAAAGCTTTAATTTGAAATTTTAATTTATTTTGACAGTTGTCTTACTGTGTACTGAATTGTAAATTAAATTAAATTTTTGTTAAATTAATTTGTTATTAATTAGTAATGTCGTGTATTTTACATGTCCCCTTTTAGCACGGATGACAGTTCTATAATCAAAGTTGATAAATCAAAATATCACTTTGTTTTTATCAGATCATTAAAGTAAATTTTCCTATAAATTATTAATACAATTTTATTAAATAAACACTTATTTATACTTTTAATGGTTTCGTTTCGAAACGTTTCTAGTTTTTTATTATTTTAATAAAAATCATTAATTTATCCTATAAAATGAAAAATGGTAACCATAGAATGAATGAAAATAATAAAACCAAAGGTCAGAAACCTACTGACAATAAAGATGATTATATGATGTTTGAAAGTGATGGCGATGATGTGCCAATAATTAATCGAAGAGTCAGAACAGTTATGTCTCCATATCAAAGTAAAATATTACACGAATGTTTTTGCAAAAACCCGTTTCCTTCTACAGAATTACGTGAAGAATTGAGCCGAGTTTTGAAAATGAAACCTCGAACAATACAAATTTGGTTTCAAAATCAAAGACAAAAATCCAAAAATGTAAAAGATCATATGCATCCGTGGCACAGCGAATATAAAAACATGCCTTATAGAAGTTTAAATATTTTGGCAACTGTTGCTGTAGCTAAATTATATGAAAGAAGAAAAGAAATTGAGAAAATTGAGGAGAACTAAAAATTTTACACAATATAAATTAAATATTCTAAAATTAAATGATTTTAATTTAAAATTATTTAATATGTTATTTTGTCATTACTTTCGCGAATAATGTACTATTTATCGATTTTTATTAATTAATTTAATAAATCAATTTAGACAAAAGTTATTCTTTACTGCTATATTATAAACTTATATTACAAAAACATTGACTCAGTGTATGTTATATTGAATTAAAAAAAATTATTAATTTTTTATACAAGTATTAATAACTTAATTGTGTTTTAAATCAAAAAAACTCATGCCATTTTAACAATAAAAAGATATTCTTAATTTACAAAATTCTTGTAATTAAAAAATATAATTTATTTTGATATTTAACACCTACTTTTTTATATTTAAAAAGGATTGAAATAGTAAAAAAATATGTAAGAACTAGAAATTATTTGTTATTTATAATTTGTTTAAATGAATTCCAATTTATAGTGCTAGGGTAATGCTCAGTTGTTAATTAAAAAATTCACTTTTTTGTTGTAAATGTTGAAAAGACAGAAAAGCATTTCATCGCCAATAATCAACTAATATTGAAATTTTCTAAAAAAGTGTATTTGTTATAAGTAATAACAGTATTAAATAATTTCAAATAAAAAATAATTGCCTGTAGATTATCAGGTTCACAAATTTTTCAGCAATTTATTTTGTTTTAGCAATAAACAGTAAAATTTGCACAAAATATATTGTTTTACCTTACAAACAAAAAAGAGATTTAAATATTAGATTAACCAATGTAAATAACTACAATTGTAAACTTTCTTAATCTTAACATGCAAGTTTTAGTGTAAAGCATATACACTTAACTTATAATTGTATTAAACGTTTGATTTACATGAAAATGAGAAATAGATTTCTGGAAAAAATTGGCCGACAAATATTTCGATTTCACAGAAAACAATTTTTTTAAATGCAAATAACATAGAATCAACTCATTAATTCTCGTCAAATAATTGAATTAAGTTTACTTTTAAATTGGTTATATTTAAAAAACAGTTTTTAAATATAAATTATTTTGCTTTTAGTTAATTACAATTTTTTAATGATAATAATAATTTATTTGTTTTTTGATAAATTATTATTAAAAAAATATCAGTTCTTGAAATTATTTCAAGGCATCACACAATTATTCAGATTATATAACAACAAAGTCTAGTTACGATTTAATTATTTTAATTTGCTATATAAAGCCTTTTAATTATAAAATTTATTATAATTAACTACAATTTATCAATATTTTGCGGATAAAAATGAACGACAATTATTAGTTTTCTTAGATTTAAAAAATAAAAAAATACTTTAAAGAAGAAACAAATACACATTTTTTCCTACCGTTTAGCTTATTAATATTTTTTTCAAACAAATAAAATATTTACCCTTCCTATGAAATACAAGTATATTTTTCTTAACAAGTTATATGCTACGAATAAGGCGCTTGCGATAAGTAAAATTAAAGAACAAGTATACGACATTCCCTTAATGTTACAATATTTAAATAAGAATTTTTTAAAAGATTTGAATATTTGGAATGATAATATTTCTAAACAGTTGATTTTATTTAATACACAAAATTATTTTACTAATTACAGAATACAAGATATCCGCTATAGACTGTTAAATTTTATATGTCCTTATTTACCCAGTTATCAAGCAGATAGTTATTTATTGTTAGACTATTATATGTATTTTAATAGTAACTTTTATAATATTGATTTAGTACCCTTTATTAAATTAAATATAAAAGGGCGTTATATTACACTAGATTTTATGAAATTGATCAAAGATCAGAGTAAAGAACTTTTTTACTTTCTAATCCAAAACAATAATGAATTGTTTAGATTTATTATTAATAATGATAAAACTTTATTAGACGATGAAGCATTTTTAAAAGAGTTACTTGGTACAAATAAAACAGATTTGGCAATTCTTAGTCTTCCTTATTCAAAATGGCATACTGTACGACATTTTATCACAGATGAGTTTATTAAAGAAAATATATTTAAGTTTAAACTAGCGGATTTGTTCGCCGCTAAAAGTTGTAATTTTATTTGGGATATTTTAAAAGAATATTCATATGGTTTTAGATATAAAATGTATACGGACTTAGAACCTAATAAAAAAATTTTACAATTTGTTAGACAAGATTTAAAAAATTTAGTACAAAGTAATTGTAATAATCTTATAAATAAATATAAGCAGTGTACACCTGATATATTAAGTATTATTACAGAAATGATCGATCAAATTGTTGTGTATCCAATATTAATAGGTTTAATTTATCAAGTAATTGCCGGATTAGAAGATCTAGCAAAAGATATTTGTATTTTTTATATTTTGAAATATATTTCTAATAAAAAAGCTTGTACTACTAATAATTCTTTCTGTAGATGGTATATCAATATAACCAAATTAATTAAATTGTTGTATAAAGGTATAGATAGTGCAGCTTTAGTAGATTTTATAGATGTCAATTTACATTACAAGAGATATAGTATTATTTTATTGTTAGAAATAACACGCCATAAGATAAATACATTTGATATTAATGAAATTTTTCTCTACGAAGATTATGGTATAAAACTTAAGGAAGAAATATTTGAAAGATACCAGCTCCTTCTTAATACCAATATAATGAATATTGAATATACATGTGATATTAAATATATGACTAGTATTGAAATAAAAAAGTATAAATTTACTGGATTTAATTTTAAATATATTGAAGATTATCTATATATTAGAAATGTGGCTAAGGTTGTTTCCTATAATTTAGATAGAATAGATAATCTTCAAGTAGTAAAAGATTTCTTTGTGAACTGTAGTAAAAGTCAAGAAGAAGATATAAAACTTATTGGAAATTCTATGTTAAGTAAATTACAAATACACTGCAAAAATGTACACAAGTAAACATATAATCTTTAAAAAGATATATTAGTGTTTATACATTGAAATCCCAAAAAAATAGGATAGGTTATATAACAGACAAAATAAGCCATATTAAAAAAAAGTATAAATATATAACAACGATTAACAAGATCATTGATGTGCTAGTATAATTTAATAAAATAAATCTTTTAAAAAATTGTAAATATTAAATAACTATAATCTATTTTAAATAAATAATCATACACCATTTTGTTTAACTACATGTAATATCTTCAGCCTTTAGAAAGCAAAACAAGTTTTATAGTTAAAAAGACCAATAAAATAAATGGTCCTTTTTTAGATCTCAACTCCATAGATCAAATTATAGTTTCTTACAATCTTTAAGTACAAAATAAAAATTATGTTTTGTTTATAAAACCAATAAATTTTATGGGGTAGGATGGAAATAACAGAACAAGATCTTAAAGATTCGCATCCTGTAACATTAGCAGAAGTAAGGTATCTTTTAGAAACTGTAAAAGATAGATCATCTGTAGACAATAGATCTGCATCTTATAAAATTTTGAAACAGACACTTAATTACGTAGAAAAATTTTGTAAAATAGAAGAAAAAAGCTTAGCTGACGATTTAAGATCTTCTTTGTTCAATTGTGGCTGTAATGAAGTCGAGATAGCACTATTAGGATCACTTTTTCCTCAATCAATTGATGAAGCAAAGATGCTAATACCATCCCTTAGTGATAAAGATAATACATTGTTAACAAAAGTTATTGATCTATTAATGAAATATAATTAAAAGTGTTTTGATAATTTTTTAATTATGACATGAAAATCAAATTTTAAACTAGTTGCATTTAAAATTTTTAATTGTTCACATTTAAAGCAAATTTAAACTGGTTAATACTAAAACTTTGTTAATTTTAAACTTGTTACATATAAAATTTTATAAATTTTAACCGATTACATTAAAAATTTTATTTTCTCGGCGATTTCATAACAACATCTAAAAGGTTATTGACAATTTTAAACTTATATGACAAATTTGCATAGACAAAAATAATATTATTTAGAACCTTTTTAATTCAAAATACAGTATTAAAGATGTAATTGTTACTACTATAAAACATCCAATGATAACTCTTGACTTATTAAATTTTTTAACACGCTTCATTAATATATTTGATTGATACATTTTATCCCTAGCAAGACAAGCTTTTTGTTGTACAACAGTAAGTTTTTCACTCTGTAGCTCAACATCCAAAAGCAAAGAATCAAGCTCTTTTTCGGCAAATTCTGCAATTTTAAGTGTTTCTTCAAATTTGTTCATTATTAGTTTGTTTTAAAAAAATAAATTATTTGTTTTGTTTGTTTCATTTTTAATATAAATTTTTTATTTTGTAAATATTATGAATCAAAAAGGAATAGGTGTATCAAATCTTCCAAATCTAAAATATAGTAGTGTTTGTCAAAACGGCATTGATTTTAATATAATGACAGTAGGATCTCATGGTCTAGGAAAGTCTAGTTTTATTAATGGTCTATTTAACTTGAATTTACTGAATACTGAAATACAAAATTCAGATTTCCATGTTACTACATGCACAATAATAGAAAATCAATTTAAAACCAATATAAGCATAACAGAAGTAGATCGTATTGGAGATAAAGCAAATAATGAAAAGTGTTGGACACCAATTATAAAATATCTTCATGATTTATACAAAGATTATTTAAATAAAGAACAGCATAATGTAAGATCACTTGTACAAGATAAACGAATTCATATTTGTTTTTATTTTTTAGAACCTAACTGCAGTTTTATTAAACCTGTTGATTTACAAACAATGAAAGAGATATCGAAATATTGCAATTTAATACCAGTGGTATCAAAAAGTGATTTTTTAAATGAAAAACAGAAACAAGAATGTTTTGATTTTCTTAGAGTAACTCTAGAGCAGAATTCTATAATAGTTTTTGAAGAAAAATGTCTAAAACGCGGTAATATTTCTAATTTTACACCACCTTTTTTTATTGTGTGTCCTGACAGCGGATTAAATACGTCACGGACGTACCCTTGGGGTACACTTGATATTCAGAATCTAGTGACAAATGATTTGTATAGGTTAAGAGATCAATTAATTAATAAAAATATAATTGAATTAATAAAGCGTACAGAAGAATTTTATGATATATTTCGTGCTACGTTACTCTATGAATGTATTGATAAACAGGCTAGTAAATGTTTAAATAAAGAGATGATTAATTGCGCGTTATCTAAGGAGATTGAAAATGATGAGAAAAGTATTCAAGAAATGAAAGAGCGAATATTAGAGAAAAAAAATAGACTTAACATGCTAAAGCAATAATCGATTAAACGTCTTTAATTACACAATCTAAGTAATTGTATCATATAAAAAATATTTGTTAACTGCATTTATAAATTTAATTTTAAATTAATCTTTAAAATACTGTGTTTTCGATAAAAAATTAACTTAGAAGCTTTTACAGTAATTTTGTTTTAAACATTAAAATTTTTGTGTAAAACAAGATTAATTTATTTTCTTGAATATTAATTATTTATATTTTCTACTTCCTATAATATAGTGTTATACAAATAATAATGTTATTTGTACATTTTAACATAAAAATTTTTTTTCTTAAAAAACATATTTAACTATAATACAACTTGTTACAAAAATTTAAAATAAATAACTTTTTAATATTAGCTTTCTACTCCGTCAAAATATTCTACAATAATCTTATAAGCCTTATCAGATACCTCTATAGACTCAACATCCTGTAAATTTTCTATACGACTAATTGCTTCGGTCTCTAAAATTTTTTCTGCCGCGATATTAGATCCAAATTTTTTTTCATATTTCCTACCACCTTCTAAAATGTGTAAAAAACAATCTAAAATATGTGATTGCATATCAACAAGGTTACTAGCTATATCTAAATAAGAAATGAGTGCATCTATTAAATTGTTATCGATAAATATTTTCACCCACTCAGGTTTTTGTGAACAATAAAACAGTGCGTTACTTAGTGCCCAACATGCCTCTTTTCTAATAAATGGCTCATAAGCATTCATAGCATCAATAAGCATAGGAACTATCCCTCCTTCTACTACAACAGCCACTTGTTCAATAGGTCCCGCTGTAACATTAGACACTGTCCAACATATTTCCTTTCTTAATCTTTGTGACTTTTTATTGTCAATTCTGTAAAATAATATCCCAAAAAAGTCTAAGAATCCCAGTTTAATTATAGCATTAGTTTGATTATCATTACCTGTAGCAATATTACCTAACATTCTTATAATGGGAGAAATAGACATAGATCCTATTCTTGCATCTTCTGGATCATGCGTCGAGTTTCTTAATTTACAACAATATGCTTCTAAACAGTTATACGCCTTAGCCATTACATTAGAACCAAGTACAATATCAGTACATCCACAATCTACATCTACAATATAACTTAATGCCCAGAATGAGTCACATACAGTCTCTGGGTCTCGTACATTAATTAGCTTAAATAATATTTGTAGAGACTTATGCATATCAGATAAATTTGGCGGAGGATTCCTTCCTCTATTAAGATTACTTAATAACCAAGTCATATTCCTTACAAGCTTAATGTGTCCTTCCTGTAAATGATATTTTTCTAGTAGAGCTATTAACACATCTAATGCACCCGTTTTTATAATAGAATCTCTAGCAACTTCAGAATCACCCGCTATATTCCCTAGCGCCCATACACTTTGATCTATAACTGTCTCATTTGGTTCATACAACATAGAAACCAGTGGATTAAGTGCACCGGCTTCAAGTACAGCCATGGTCTGATCAGAAGTACCCGCAGCAATATTTGTTAAAACCCAAGCAGCTTCTATTCTTGTCTTGTCAATCAGATCTTCTGGTCCATTAAGACTAATAATAAAATTTCTGTCCAATATTTTAACAAAACGCGGTAAACATCCAGAATCTATAACAGCTTGAACAGGAGGACTACCCTCAACACTTAAAAGGGATCTAAATTCATAGGTCCCTTGATGAAGAATAGTTAAATCATTAGACTCCAACCTGTTTCTCATTTCATTAAAATTACTAATCTGAGATACTGCCAGACTTAAACTTCTTTTCTTATTTAACAGTTCTTCTTTTTTTATCTGTCTTATTTCGACTTGAGCTTCTTCTCTTTGTTTTCTTCTATTTTCTTTCGTTCTATCATCAAACATATAAGATCTACCCATTAAGGGGTAAAAATAACAAAAAATTATCAGTTAATTTTTACTTATTAAAGTAAGAAGAAAGACTGTTATTTATCACTCTATTTATTCTTTATTATGTTACAATATAGTGATAAATAAAGTATACGAACAAAAATATTTAATACTTAAGGATATTTTTATAAGACCGGTGTGTAGTCTTTTTTTGTTTTATTCAACAAAATTATTAAAAAATTAATTAAAAGACATGATAAATTGTTTATAAACCAAACTTACATAAATGATCTAATAATTTAAGCAGACCAATTAATTTTATCTAAATCTATCCCTTCTTTGACCATTTCATGTAAAGGAGACATATCTCTTAACTTATTAACAGCTTTAATTGTATCACTAGATACTTTATTGATTTCTTCTTCAGTTGTAAACTTATTTATTCCAAATCTTATAGAAGAATGCGCAAGATCATCATTTTTGCCTAAAGCTCGCAAAACATAAGAGGGTTCTAAAGATGATGAAGTGCAAGCACTTCCACTACTAACAGCAATATCCTTAATATTCATCATAAGCCCTTCACCTTCTACATATGGAAAAGAAATATTGAGACAGCCAGGAAAAGTCTTAGAATCATCGCCGTTAATAACAACATTTTCTACATTCGTTTTGATGCGATTTTTTAGTTTATCCGATAATTTTTGTATATATTCATAGTCCTTACGCATCTCCTGAGAGCATATCTCAGCAGCTTTGCCTAATCCAACAACTAAAGGTGGAGAAGTTGTCCCACTTCTTAATCCTCTTTCTTGTCCACCACCATTAAAAAGTGGTAACATTCTCACCCTAGGCCTTCTTCTGACGTATAAGGCACCAACACCTTTTGGACCATAAATTTTATGACCTGATAAACTTAGTAAATCAATATTCATATCATTGACATCAATATCTATATTACCAACTGCTTGTGCTGCATCAGTGTGAAATAAAATATTATTTTCTTTACATATTCTTCCTATTTCTTTAAGCGGTTGTATTGCTCCCATTTCGTTGTTAACAGCCATAACAGACACCAAAGCGGTATCTTTAGTAATACTGTTTTTTATTAATTGCGGATCTACTATTCCATTTTTATCTACAGGCAAATAAGTCACTGTAGCTCCTTCTTCTTCTAATCTTCTACATGTGTCCAATACACATTTATGTTCAATTTGTGTGGTAATGATATGAACAGGCCTATTGTCTTTTTTTAAAAATGCAAAGACACCCTTTAGTGCAAGGTTGTTACTCTCAGTAGCACCGCTAGTAAAAATAATTTCTTTTTCATTGGCATTCAGTAAATCTGCTACTTGCTTTCGAGCCATTTCTACGCCTTTTTCTGCATTCCATCCAAACGTATGCGTGCGAGAATGTGGATTTCCAAAAATGGATGTATAGTATGGAAGCATTGCATCAAGCACACGCGGGTCTAAAGGCTTGGTCGCTTGTGCATCAAGATATATTTTTTTTGTATTTATAACTGGTGATTGTACACTTGACATTAAATTTAAAGTTTTAGAATTCGTTAAACTTTTAGTCATAAAAATGGGGCTATAAAAAAATAACATTTAAGACTTAATCTTTGTGTCATAAAATTTTAAAAAAGGAATATTTTTACTTTTGGTTTTTATAATATTGCAAAAAAATAAAATACTTAATCTTTGTGAAATGAAAAATTAAAAGGCTTTTATTTTGGTATAAAACCAAAAATTAATTTATATTTTACGAATTAATATCATCTTAGCCTTTGCAGAAAAAAAGTATTTAAATATAATAAATTCAATCAATTTTTATTATAAATTAAACTTAATAAATAAACAATACTTACCTTTCCATTAGCATCAGGATTTATAAGTCTAAGCATTTCTTCTAACTCATTTTCTCCTAACGAATATTTACCTGTAGACAATGTGTTAATAAGAGTATTAGCATCTAAGAATCCAGAATTATCAGGACATAGCGACTCTAAGCATTTTTGTAATTCCTCCCTAGAAATTTCTTCTTTTTCCAATTCTTCACATTGTATCAAATATTCATTAAACGGAAGGCCATTTTCTGGACATTTATTTTTTAGATTTTCCAAAGATTCATCGGTTAATGAAAAACCAGAATGAGAAAATAAATTGTACAGCTCTTCTTTTGGTACAGTTTCACTAGGCGAATCTACAAACAATTGAAAAACTTTTGAAAATCTTTCGGCATTTTCCATGGGCTAAAAAAAACCAAAAAAAAAGTTTAAAAATTAATTGTATTTTTTACTTAAAAATTTAAATATTATTGTAACAGCGTTTTAAACTTTTTTGCAAGATTATAAAATAAATTTAATTACAAGATTATTTGTTCTCTTTTTTACATTTTATGTTAATTAATGTTTTTTAAGTTTAACATAAGTACCCGCTTTCCGTTTTTACTGTAAAATAAAAAACTAAAATACCAGGAATATTTTTCAAATGGGCCATTCCTATTTTTATATGAGAATATCTCGCAGTCATCTAAATATACGGTTTTATCAATTATTAAACTTATAAACTGTACAAACTCAGATACCGTCGATTTACATTTATAAAGAATCATAAGAGAGTACATAAGCTCGTTTATAACTTCCTGGTAAGTCATTTTTGTAAAGTTAGAAGAATTTTCTTCTTTAAAATTGTAATCAGGAAAAGCTAGTTCCAATGTTTCGACCAGGTACCTAAAAGGCTTAGAAAAATGTTTATATTTTTTATCCCTCTTTGATGATTTACATGAAAACACTTCAAGATCAATTGTGAAAGAAGGGTGCTTTTCTTGGATTATTTTTAATATTTCATTCGTTTTTAGGATTTGGAGAATTTGAAGAAATTTCATAAAAGGGGTTTGTTTTCTTAATTTTAATGTTAACATAATTATTATATATCAAATGTGTTAAAAGTATAAAATACAAATTAAGTTTATACTATCTTATTAACTTTAATAAAAAATAGGACTATTACTTTATCGAATTTTATAAAGTAAAATTTAGAAATAGTAATTTATTAGAAATGGAGAACAACCAGTAAACATATACAAAGTCTCTTTTCTATAATTTTGTGTATGTAGCAATGTTAACTATACTTTTAGATTAATAATATGATCATCTGGTTAATAATTGAAAATAAAAAAATTGAGCTAAACGAATGTTATTTTTTTTAAATGAATGAGAAAAATCATAAGTTTTTATCGTCGTTTTGTATTAAACTTATTGTTTATAGAAAAATTTAAACGTAATTTTAGTTCTTAAAATAGTAGTTATCAAAAAAATAAAACAGTCAAATTATATTTCGTCTTAATAAGAAGTGTTTGTTTAGCACGCATTTCTCTTTATACGAATATTTTTAATTAAAGTAGAAAAGTAAGGAAAACGTAGTGTTGATATATTTTAAGAAATTAAAAGCTTTTAGTTTTTAAGAATGCAAGAACTGAACTATAGAAAACGTAAAATATCTAATAAATTAATTTTTATTATTTAAATTTCTTATTTCTACTATAGCAAATATATATTATGTTTAAGAAATTATTTTACTACTAAAATAAAAATTATCTACCTTTAAAACTTTACTTCCTAATATATTCTATTTTTAAATTGATTATGTACAAAAATAGTAAATAAAAATAATTTATTTAGGTTCTATAATTAATTAGCTTGAAATACAAAAGGTTCAATAAATTAAAAATATATACCAAACAATATTCCAAAAATTTATTGTAATTTTTTATGATTTTTATAGATAACAATACTTTGTCAATGAACCAACAAAGTATCCTAATTAAAATTTTTATATTGAATACATATTAAAATATTTCACTATATTTTAAATTTATTCTGTAATTTGGTTTGAATAAGTTTTAAGTTTATAATTTTTTTATTTTAATTTTATACCGTTAAATGTTGTTCAGGTCTTTAAAAAATTTTAAGTGCGGTGACGCAAATATATTTTCTAACACGCTAGCAAAATGAAAATAAAAGATGTTTTTACATTTCTGTTATACCAAATATTTCTTTTATATTATTTAAACGGTTTATAATGTACACAAAGCCTTTTGATTTATAATATTATTGTTTAAACTAATATAAAAAATATTAATAAATTTTCAATTGTTTATATTTATAAATTAATTTATTTTTGTTTATAATAAATACATATAAAAATAAATAAGACATGTATTAGAAATTAGAAATAAAATATTTAATTCTTTTTGTATCTATTTATTTAAATTTTTTTTAAATTGGAATTTTAGTATTGTATGTTTAATAACGTAACTAATACTAAATACTAAAAAATATATAAATTAAAATTACAATAAATCTTTTAATTACAATAAATTGCTTTTCCATTTATTTTTAAGGTAAAAAATATCAAAATTACCCTCATGAGTACTAATATATTTGATGCTGCATTAGGCTTAATAAAACTTAGTAATATAAACAAAGCTATTAAAATAAAATCACAATATAAAGATGAATTGAATAAGGCTGTGCTAAATCGCGTTTTCGAACTTACTTCAACTCCTTCACTTAACACACAACTTGATTTAAGTATCTTGCTACACTTAGATTTAAATATTATTAAAAACTGGTTTCGTAAGTTGAGAGAACAAAAAAATAAAAAAATAAAAACTGATCTTGAAGGAAAAGAATGTGAAAAATCAACGGACATTCCAGTGACTGTAATTATGCAAATAGTATGCATTGTACGTGATTCTTTAGAAGGAAGGAGTAAAATGAGAAGGTCAAAACGCTTTGTATAAAAACACTTAATAAATTTTATTTTAATTGTTTATCAAATTTTGTAGTTTTATTGATTTTTATAAAAGCATTTGCTTGTTAATAAAAAGTTACTAATTAAATTTTTTGTTTATTTTTCAATAAATCACGCTAAAATTTTTAAATCTCTTCTATAAAAATATAAATTAAAATGCATACATATAAGTAGATTAAAACTAGTATAAATATTGTAATTTTACAATAAATACTATCAATGGTTGTGTAAGAATATTTTATAATTTTAAATACTAAGAAATTATTGCATGTCTACAAAGCAAATATAATATAGTTTTATTAGTAGAGTTTATTTTGATTTTTACATGTCGCTATTTTTAACATCAAAAGTTTTTATGTATTTTAGCAATTAAATTTTTTTTTGCCTGTCAATGCGTGTTGGTTTGAGATATTTGACAGGGGCAGATTAATTTCTTTGTAAGAGGGTAGAGTACAAAAAAAACAAATTGTAACTTTTCTTTTATTTTATACTACACTATCTTTTGTATCGACATTAAAGAGGTTTTAATCAAGCAAATATATTATTGATAGTCAAACCAATTATTATTATATTGATAAAATTTCTTCTCTTTTGAAACTAAACATTAATTTTCTTTTAATAATTTAATACAATAAAAAAAAGGTTTTTGATGCTCTTTATTAAAAAAATATTTATGTTATTTTTATCACCTAATTTGTCTTTTTTTATATATTATGATTTTTAAAATTTTTTATGAGTAAAGCAAATCTTATTTAAGATAAAACAAATACACCATTTTAAATGCAAATTATAAAACATTTTAGTATAAAAATACCTAGGCCAAAAAAAATTATTTAATTTTTCAAAATGTATGCAAACGTCACAAAATATATCAATAAATTTTTTTCTTTACACTTGTTTAATTTTAATTTTACATAATAAATCTTTTCTTTTATGATTTAAATAATTATAATATAAATTTACTGTAGATTTAATAAATATTTATTTTCATTATATTTCAGAATATTTGTTAATTAATAATACAAAAAAAAAGATCTTTAATATAATATTTTTAATGCATAAATGTCTTAATATATTAATTATTTATATAAGATAGAATTTTAAGTTAAATTCTTTGGCTTGTGCTTGTATACCTGTTAATGCAATCAGATTTTTCACGTCCCTTTTTGTTAATAAGTGTTATTGTTAAAAATGTCATTTTAAATATGGTATTTTTAAATTATAAATTATATTGAGGCTAAAGTTGTAAATAAATGATAGTCATATTTTCTTCTTTCTTCTGTATGTACATTGTATATTTTTAAATTACTATTTAACGATATTTGAAAAAGTCTTAACTAAGTGTGTTAATTCTCTATGCATTTATGAAGTATATATAACCACATCATTTCAAATCATTCTAAAATATACAGTAAAAATTATATTTATATATCAATTATACCATAATTTATTGGCGTTTAATGTTACACTTGACTTTTAAAATACGATTAATATACTGTAAATAAAAGATATTTAATAATATAAAGCTCTCGAGTTTTAATTGTTTCCCTAAGGAACTTCCCTTAGGCCTGTAAAAATTTAGTTTAATTTTATAAATTAAATAATTTGTTATTGAATCGAAACTATTCTTTTACTAAAAAAATTAAATAAAAATTTAATGACTACTGTCTTGTAAAGAAAACACTCAAACCTATTATGCCCAATACAATAAACCTAATAGCAGGTATTGTGTTCACCCAGATTGTCATCATTCCGAAATATGGTATATAAGCTATTACACATGATTTAATATCTTCAGGCTCAAGATAATATTGATTAGGTCTGTACAATCCTACATCATCGACCCTGTTATTATCTCCTTTAGTAAGTGTTTTATTACCAAACTTCTTAATGCAACGATGAACTATTGGTATCGTGTTTTTATATACTTGAAATACAGTCATGTCACCCACTTCAAATACTTTAGGTCTAAGCCATAAAATGTCTCCCCTTTCAAATCCAGGGCTCATACTTTCACTTAAAACTACAACAATAGGACTATCATTGTTTAGTAATAAAGAAATAAATTTCCATAGCATGTACGTACCAATAATAGCATAGCTTGCATTTATAAACTGCTTGAGTATTTGTCGGGGTCCCATTCTTGTAAAAGCTGCAATATCCTTAGTGTTAAATAGTAGATCCATAAGGGTTATTTAAAAAAGTTTTTAAAATTATTATGAAACTTAAAATAAGGAGTTAAGATAAGAAAGTTTAGAATACAAACACATAAAGAAATATCTTTAAAAATTTGAGTAATCATAAAGTAAGGTTTACTTTGGAAATTATAACTTGGTACTAGTAAAAGGTTTATTTAATCCTTATTCTAAATCTATAGAGAATGCAAATCACAATTTTTTAATATTTAAAACAATTTGTAATTCCATAAATTGTTTACATGGATCCTGTTCAATTTCATAAGTCTATCTTCAATGTTTTCTTTTAGACGTCATAACTCAACAAAATATGTATCTTTCTAGTTTCTTATTTTGATAAAGTGTTTCGATACTAAAAGTTTCGTTACAAAAGCTCTTTTCAGTATTCTCTTAAATATTAATGTTTTAAATAAATTCTCGTTTAAACCAAATTTCGCCAATTTTTATTCCCACTTAACTGCAAAAAATTACCAGTTTTTTTCGTCCAAGACTTTTTCAAATATGACGATTTTAATATGAATTTGTAATAGTAAAAATTCAAATTCCTGTACAAAAATATTTATTAAAATCAGATAAAAATATTCATATGATAATTTTTAAAGTATAAAAACGGCCAGTTTTAACCATACTATAAAATTCAATTATTTTATTTGCGATGTTATCAAATATTTATTTGATGTTTTCAAAACAACCAATCTAAAAGAAAATATAACTTAATTAGAATTTTTTGAAAGTAAAAAAAACTGTTACAAATAATTTTTATATACATAGGAAAAGTATACTTTTTTGGAATTTTTTTAATCATAGCTATATTTTGTTTGATTCATTAATTTTTAAGATTGAATTGATGGTGGTAAAATATTTGTTATTCATTTTTTTAAATTTTTAAAACATCGAAAAAAGTGAACAATCGCAGTGCAAGCTATAAATTAAACAAAATTTTAAAGTAAATGTGATTGGCTAACTTATTTTTATATATATTTAAAAAAAAAATATTTATTTTTTTAAAGGTTATTTAATTTTAAAAAACTTATATAAAAGTTTTGATAAAAATTTTATAAAAATAACGGTTAATTTTTAATTCTGCATTAAAAACGTTTAAACAATATGTAAATTTAATCACTACATAACTTTTTAAAATTTTTAAAATTAAAAGTATAGTATCTTTTCACAATTAAATTTTTAACCTTGTTGAGCTTCAATTATTTTAAATTTTATTGTTAAAATTAGTGCTTTTACTTGATATAATAAATATTTTTTTATAAATAACCCTGCTTAAAAATTCAATCTTTTTTTTTGTCTTGTAGCTTTCTAAAAAAATCTATTAAACTATAAGATAGTTAATTAACAAATTTCTTAAATTTATATTTTGACAAGAATAGGTATTATTTTTAAACGGCGCCTAAATGAATATTATTACTCTCTCTGATAACCTGAAAAAAATCATTGATTATATACAAATTATAATCTAATAATTTTTTTATATATTGTTTTAAAATTTCGCAGAAAATTTGCATCAAAGATATTATTTATGTATTAATCTGGTTAAAAGTGCTTTGTAGTAGATTGAATAATATATAAAATGCAATGTATACCTAGACCAATTAATTTTATTGCTTAAGACGGCAAAATGTATAAGGGTTCGATACAGATACTTTTTGTTCAATAATGTACTTATACATTAGACTTCATATGCAAGTTATAAAATTTTTTATAACAGTTTTTTAAACTTAAAATATCAGCAAGAAAGTTAAACTAAGCCATCAATTGCAAGCTATAATTGTAATGGACACACGAGCAATTTGTAATTATTATTGCTGTGACATTTATAGTGTCATTAATCTCGTATTAATTATTTTTATAATGTATATCTAACATAGTACTAATTTTAATATTTTGGGACACTAAACTAAACTTTTTAGTTTTTAATAAAAATTTTACTGCATATAATGTTTAATTAACAATTTTTTCGGAGTAAAGAAGCATGAGAAAAAAATCCGTTAATATTTTTATGCAAAGTTGATATGCAACTAACAAATTAAACAATCATATATCCTTAGATCCCATAAATTAACAATTTTAAATATAATTTACACTATAATCTGTTTTTTAATCTTATGTTGAGAAGTAAAAATTAATTAGCTATAAACTATATAAAGAAATTTTTCCATTATGTTTAATAAAAATTTTTTTTTTTACAAATGTTATTCAATTTTCCTTTAGCAAATAGCTAAAATGAGACATAGAAATACATTATCAGCAACAATCTGTATGCATTGATTTATAAAAATACCTTACAAAGATAAAATAAAAATAAAATATCCTAGCAATATTTTTAAACCCACAAAACATTGTGTTCTTGATGAATTTTTTCCTTAAGTAAACTTCTTTATAAATGTCGCCATTTATATATAAAAATTAAACAATTAACTACAAAAAAATGAAGTTGCCAGCAGTGCGATAAAAATATATACCTGGAAAAAAATAGATCACATTATAGCACAAAAATGACCATAAAAGTTTCGCTGTAATAAACATAAAAATATATACTAGTCTTTTTAAAAAGATTTTGTAAGGCTTATCTTTAAGTTTTTTTTACAATGGTGTCATGTACGTTAATCTTCTGAAAAATTTCATACTAACAGAGTATTAGATTAATTACAATGTTAAAGGTCTTTTTTATATTTTAAACTTAAAAAAACTGCTATTTTTGAAAAAATTTACAATACTTTTATTCCTTAGGGATAATTGGAAACATAATATTAAAGGATTGAATAAGTAAAAAAAATGTTGAGATAGTACATAATTTAAAGGACTAATCATACCTTCTTATGATTAAAACAAATGTTTAGTCCTCTTATTGGTGCGTTTCAAAATAATGACTATAAATAGCACTTTTAAATAAAGATGAGTTTATGTATGAATCAACGTTTTGCAATAAGAATATTTACAAAAGTTTTAACAAAATCAATTTTATTAAAAACATTACTAAGAGGTAGAAAAATTTAGTTTTTTTAATGTCAAATAAATTATCAAAGAAAAAAAAACAAATTAAAAGTATATTTTTTAGACTTATAGCGTTATTTAAAAAATAAAAACAATGGTGTGATATTAAACCACATCTAAAAATTTTAAATTTTCATTTGTTTACAGATTAAATTTTCTTGAATAAATTTTACCCTTACCAGAAGATAAAAAATAAAATAAAAAATGGATAGAAGTTAGCTTAACAAACATTGTATTAAAACATATGATGAATAAAATTGAAGAGATAATATGATGAGGGAAATAGGCTGTAGAGCAAAAAGGTTGAACGATAAAATGTTTTCTTGACTGTTTTTTAGGCAGGAGGAGCTTTCTTTAGAATACGTCAAATAATTTATTTATTTATTTTCTACGCATTTCAGGATTTTTGAACTCTGTAAATAAAGTTGTAACCCCTAATGATTTTCTTGTTTTTTCTGGTTGATATTAATTTATCATCAAAACAAGCAGAATTTGATACTACTTAAGAACAGTCGTTGCAACCATAATTCTTTAACTTCTAATAGAGAACTCTTTGGCGACTAAGCAGGCAATAATATAGCCAGTACACTTCCTTCAGTACCGCAATCTGATGGTGCTAATATTACACAAGAAAAACTAGAAGATTTAAAAAATTTTTTATGCTTTGCAATTGTAAAACGCTGTAAAGTTAATTATTGACAAAGACATGTGTAAAAGGTTATATTATTACATAACCAGTCATAAGGATCAATTTTTGTTCGATGTACACTTTGGTATGATTAAAGATTACGGTATATTTTGTTCTCGTATGTTATAGCTTTTATTACTGGTTAAATTGCATTTGTAATACTAAGATTTTATATTTATTTGATATTTAAACAGGACTATAATTTTTTTTTTTATTTCTGATGCCTTAAGGCGAATAAAAAAAATTTTTATATTAAAAAAGACATTATGTAAAAGTTATATTTGACTTTTTATTTTGGTCGAGCAAAACGTTTAAACAAGATTTTAACTTTATTAAGTGCATACCTGAGATGGTTGGGAATAATTTATTAAGAATTATAAGAAAATTACTAGCATTTAGTATAAAAGCGTACGGACGTACCCCACCCAAAGATAAATAAATAAATTTTAATGCATTCTGCTTATAAGTGATTAGATTACATGGTAATCGTAATTTGAAATAGAAATTAGAAATTTAAAATAAAACTATCATTATTAAATACACTTTTATATATTATTCCCACCCCTTACCTTGTTTATAAGCTTTATATCACTAGGATATAATGTCACTCTTTTAGCATGTCTACTAGCCAAATAAGATGTTTCCATTAGTGTAGTAAGATGTGCTTCAAATACTTCCTGTAAAATTTCAAGAGATTGCGCAGTGAATCTTGGAATATCAGTATTAGCATTACGTGCTATATTACGTGTAATATCTCTGACCATACGAGTAAATGGAGATTTACTTACCAAAAAATTTGTAGATTTTTGATAAAATTTTATCTCTTTTAAAACCATTGATCTGGGTTTCTTTGTAATTTTCTTAGTATTTTGACTAGCTGTTATGTTTGGTTTTCTAATACTAAAAGCTCTTCTTTCTTCTGTTTTCTGATCTTTTTGTTCAGGCTTTTTTTGTGTACCCTTTTTTGCTTTTCCCTTGTTGTTAGTGTTTGTCATAGCAGTTCTGGCCATTTTGTAAGGGGTTGTGGAAAATAATAAACTAATAGAAAAGGAGGGAATATTTTTACAAACAATAGTTGCATGCAAACATTTTAACACAACTATAATATAATTTTATATTTTTTGCCGGGATTTGAAGAGTTTTTAAGTTGAGTTTTACTTGAGTTACGTTTGTTTGAGTTCATATTGCTCCACTTAAAGTTCGGGCGTAAAATGTATTTTTAGTTTTAAATAAATTAAATCATACAAATAACAAAAGCTTGCTAAGTGAAGGTACTGAAACTAAATGTATCGAGATTAAGTAGTAAATTTACTATTTCTTTAAAGAAAAAAATTATGGAATCAGATTGGGACAAACAAACAAATAAAAACTTGATCATGTGCTTGTTGCATCATGACAATTCTACACAGTAATATAAAAATCTAAAGATAACTAAACTAGGTTAAAAAATATTTTGTTAAAATATAATTATTAGTGTGGTATCCCTCATGTCTCATACTAATACCACACTACAATCATTGGTTAAACCCCAAACAATGTTTTAACGTAAAATATTTAAAAAACTAAATTTGGATTAAAATGAAAGAATTGAATGATCAAACAGCTAACCACTTTAAGGAGCAACATCGCGGCTAACAGATCAACTGGCGTGCAAGCAATAAATCAACTAAACGAACTATCAATAACATTTTAGAAACCTATTTTCAATATGGTTATGTCAACTAGTTATATTAAATTGTTGTGAGTCTAATGATAGATTTGATAATCTATAAAAGATAAAATGCTGATAAATATCATTATTAAAATCATTTTCGACGAACAGTTTTTTTGGATAAAGTTTTGTGTTTGTACTAACAAAAGATATTAAAATTATCTTATGTAGTCGATAAAACAAAAAAATTGTTATATTTTATCTAAAAGTATAAATTTTAAACATGTAGACGGTAGTTGCCAACTATTTTGTAAATTTTCTAGGCAATATTCAAAGTAACCTAAAAATTTTTAGATATCAGATTTGTTAAACAATTAGTGCATAGCTATTTTTAACTGTATTAGTAAAATAACTTTTAAATTACTTGTCCGTTATAAATAACGCGTAATAAACATTAAATTACATTAAAAATCATACTTTAAAATTTAAAGTAAATATTGAAAACTATATTTTAGTTTATACGAAAATTTATAAAAGTATTATATTTTATTAATAGCTTATAATTACTTTGCTCGTTGCTATTTCACATTTAGATATAAGATATACTAAAAAATTACTTATATTGTTTATTTTAAATATTTTATAAATTTGAATGCTCTGTAGGCTTACAGATAGTTAATCATATTAAATATTTACGTAACCCTTTATTTTTTGCAAATTTTTGAAATGAACTTTGTACAGACAAAGAATTTTTACACATCGTTAATATTTTAACTATTTTTCATTTTGTGGTTTAAAAATAGTAATAAGTGTCTCGTTTGAGGCCCAGTTTTTTTGTTCAATCTGTTAATGCTCGTATCTGCTGCATTTAAAAACGTAGTTTACTAGTCTGCTTCTTCGCTTCTGCTATACTTTTTCATCCTAGTACTCTATTTAAATGCTCTTAAGTGTCTTTTTAAGCATTATGAATTGAATGTAAGCACCAATTTAATCAATGGGTTCAAAAAAATTGGTTTTTATAATTAAAAAGTCAAATAATTTCTATTTGTGTATAAAATTTTTTTGTATTCTTTAGTTTTTTAAACATAAGTAACTACTCCTTAGTTCGAATCACTAAATTCTGCTAAAATCTATTTAGTATTCTACATACCACTTTTAAAGTATTATAGAAAAAATTAATTTAGTTTCTTTCCAAAAAATATATAAATTAAATCTATGGACAAGGGCAAGAATTTGTTGAGATGAACAGAAATCATTTGAATTATATAAAAGTATTTATTAAAAATTATATTAAGTTTAATTTGACCACAGGAGTAAGACTTGTAAATTTATACAAGCAAACTAGCTCCTAAGTCTTTCCATTATAAAATTTAATTTTTAAACATGCTCACCAGATTTTATAAAGTCAACTTTAAGCACTTTGAACTGTATATACGCTTCAATTCGGCAGTCTAGTCCTATATCTTCTCTAAGACTTTATAATTTTTAGTTTCTGTTTTGTACTTTATAATATCCATTATTTAATTTAAATTTTTATATTTTATTATAAATAAAATATTTTTGAAAAAAAAACATGATATTTTAGATTAACAGTAAAATAAATTTAAATTAAATTAATAAGAATATTAAACAAAAAAATTTTTGATAGAGTTTTATTTGAAATAGTGCTAAACTGCATCCATGGTACGTACAAAAAGTGGGTTAAGGTTTGTTTAAAAAGTTTTACCCTTGTTTTTGGAAAATTAACTGTAAAAAAAATGTAAAAGCAGGACAGAAAATTTGTAAATTTTTTAAAAGTGTTAAAAATTTTAATCAACTTTTTTGTAGTTTCTCCTCTTTCATTTCTCGTGACATGTATCTAAATAGACATAGATTACATAAATAACGGGTTCGTACTCTCAAAAGAGTCGATGCCTTTGCAGGTCTCTAGTTCCCTTCAATAGTGTTGATATGTACACCTGTGTGAGGATCCCAAAAGTGCAGAAAGTGTTTTACTACACGGTGGCTTCTAAAAAAGCGTCTTATATTTGTACATTTTCGCCAGCATTTGTTAAAATGGTTGAATTACAATGTTTATGAGAGAGAATTAATGGAATTAACGTATCTGCATTTCTTCTTTTCACTCTAATAATAACTATTCTTTTTAGAGGTTCTTTCTATCATTCCAACGGCCCAAAATCCTGTAATTACTGACCTCTATTGTGTTTGTTCTTTGCTATTTTAATTTCGTCTATTTCTACAATACAATTTTCCCCACCCAAAGGTCCGACTGATATAAGATAAAAATTTTATATTTCAAAACTACGCATAATTTAAAAAATATCTTAAACTTGATCTTTTGGTCCACCAAGAATAATTGAATCAATTGGTGCTCCAATTGACCACATATTCATAACTTTAAGAATAAATATATGACTGATTCTGATATTAAAAAAAAGAGTGTTCTTTCACATAAAAAATGTATACTTACAAATGAATCAAGTACAAATTAAAGTAGCATTGTAATTATCTTGTGTATTAATTTGTGGCATAAAAAATTTTTATTCTTATTTTATAAGAGCATTTTTGGCAACATTGTTGGGAGTTTATAATTATAAAATTAAAATAAAAATTATTTAATTCTTCCTCATTTATCATTTTCGCATTTTGGAAATTCATTTTTAGGAGTAAAATTTTAAAAAAAAACCGCAACCCACTTTTTGTACCGTGGATAGCGGTTTAGCCATAAAAAGGTTATGTTTTTAAAGGACGTCTCAGTTGTCATAATTAAAATAAAAAAGTTATTTATGAATGTAATTATAGCTGTATTCTGTAAATTACATCTTTTAAAGTAGACATTTCTAAAATTCTGCAATTTTTGTTTTTCAATTCATTTAAAACAAAAACAACAACTAATTATTTTTAAATTAAATGGCAACAATTTGCCTGCATTTATTTTAGATTTTACTATGTAAATAGAGAAGGATTCTATTCTGTATCTGCAAATTTATTGATGTTTTAAACGTTAATTTTGACTGATAAATAATTTTTAAAAATTAATAAAAGGGAGATTTCAAATATTACATGTGTAGATCAAAAATAAAATTTTTTAGGTCGAAATATAAATTAGTGTTTTAAACATAATAAAAGCACCTTTTATTTGAAAGTTTTAAATTATATTTTAAGTTTAATATAAAATAGATTGTGCTATGGATAATTATAATACAAGTTCCTAAATTAATTGGTTATATTTTAGATTGAAGCCAATTAGCGAAGCAATTAATGTATTAAATTAAAATAATCAGTTAAAAATATATAAATTTTTTTAATTATATAAAAAAGCTAAAAGAAATCAAAAGATGAAAAATTAAACAATAATTTCGAATCTAATAGTTATGTAAAAAACACCTTATAAATATTTACCTGTCTACCATCACCAGACTGAATTTTTAACGCTTTGTTAAATTATAATTAAAAGTTACATTTTACATGATTTGTAGGATGTTTTTTCTGTTAAATCCTTTCCTGTCTACTATATTATAAAAAGATAAGGAAAATTTTATTTTTTCTTGAACTCCTCTTTTTTTGAATTTGTGAATTTTTTGTATTTTTTAAGAAAAAATAACACAATTATTAAGTTTATTTCTGTAAGCACAGCACAATATTTTTGTGTATTTTCTTCAATTTTATCAAATAATTTAAATCATAGAATAGTAACTATTGCAAAATTTACTTATTGGTAAAAAAGCAATTTATACTTTTGAACAATACACACAAGCTTAAAACATAACATGTACATTGAAAAAAAGAGCATATACCGCATTTATAATTCCGTTTAAAACGGGATAGCATTAGATAGTTTAATAAAAAGATTAATAAAATTTTTTAACCCCAAATTTTAAAATGCAGAGTGAAGAAAATTTAAAAAATTTACAAAGCTATAAAAAAAACATTATGTCAATACGGGCAGATAGGCATTGGAAACAAGGCATTTCTCCACATATGACACTCCTGTAAGCAAGCTGTGTGGCTTGACTGATGAGTTTGTTTGTCTTTTCTGTTACGGTTACGTGCTTTGTACTTTTAAACACTGGGACTGCTGAAAGAAGAATTATTTGAGCTAAACACATTTTTTTTATTGTTTTCTTTATATAGTTTTAGTAGCCAATGGCGCGTGTCTTGATTACATATTTAAATAACCGAAAAATAATACTTTAGTTAAATTACACGCATTGTATGGCACTAAAGCATTTTTGTTCATTTGTCCATATGGTAATTAATAGCAAAAATATTTTTTAAAAAAAACTTGTAACAAATGTGTGCAAGAAGTTACCTAACGTGTATGTAGACAAAATAAAGTTTGTTTCAAAGATTAAAACTGTGGAGCCGAAAGAAGTTTGATTAGCAATATCGCTTTTGAAGGACGAAAGCTTGATCATCTTTTATTCTTAATAGTTATTGATTTGTGGATAGAAAAGCTTAATAGTAAAAAATTTTTAAAATTTATGGTGTAAGGCTTTCTCTGAATACAAATATTTTAGATATAGTATCGAATGAAAAACTGTATTTTAAATACTTAATGAAAAAAGATAATTATTTAAATAGATCAGATACAATTTTAGAACTTGATAAAAGTATATTTGGGAAATGTAGGTGTCACAGAGAAAACATAATCGGTGGTGTATAGGTTTCTGTAATTGTTGAAAGAATCACTAATCATATAACCATTTTTTTTGTTCCTAATAGATACTCTTTATTAGTAGATAAATTAATTTTTAAATTTTTTAAATTAAGAATCTGCTTTCTATGTAAATCGTTAAAAAGGATATAGTAAAGTTAAAACTTATATGAAAAAGCACGTGACAATAAATCACAGTCGCTAGTTAGGGAACCAACAACCTCTGTATAAACCAATATTATCATAGAAAGAAATTGGGCAGCAATTAGACAGCAAACATCACCTAGATGTAAATCCAATGTCATGATATGGCCATATTTATTACATTTTTATAACTTAGAAACCAAAAAAATTGTTTTTTTGAAACTTTAACATAATTGTCACTTTGTTTTTTTTGTTAAATTATAATATTTGGGTTTAAGAAATTTTATTAATTTATTTGTATAAAAAAGATAAAGTTTCATTTTAAAATTAGCTAATTTGTAATTTCTAAATATATAATAGAAAAGAAAGCGTATATAAACATTTTATTTTTTTGTAAAATTATTTTGAGTATAAAACTTTGTTAATTATTTATTTAAATTAAATATATCACAGAACTCTCGTTATATTAAAAAAATATCCGTATTGTGTCATTCTCAGAAAAAAAGGCTCTTTAAAAGGTTTGCCCAGTTAACTTTTTCACAGTACGTATTTAATTAATTATTTATTGTTTAATTCACAAAATCACATGTTTGGGCATTTTTTTTTCATATTTTTTCTTAACAATTTTCAAATTATTTATAAAAATTTTAATTTATATTTTTTTATAAATATACTTTTTTAAAGGTTGGCTATGATAACAAATTATATTTTATTTTGTAACAGTGTAAAATATTGTTAAAATTTATTTCTAGTTAAAATTACTTTTTTGCAATTTTCTAACCTTTAAATGTCATATTGGTTACAGACAATTTTTTGTTTCAACACAAATTTTAGATTTTAATTTTTTAGTAGATCTAGAAAATACATCAAATTATTCAAAAGTATTTAAAAATAAAGAAATAAATAAAATAATTCATGATCCAGCTAAAATAGAAAATTTATCTTTTTATAAAAACTTATCTAATTCTAGTATATTGAATGTTTTAACAGACGATATACACAAAAATTAAAATAATAATTATAAAAATGTTAATTATAATTTTAGTGATTTTTCGTCTTCAATAACTGCGGAAAACAATTTGATGCCATATAGTTGCACAAGTATTGTATTTACCACTAATGAATGTGAAAAACAAGATTGTACAATAAAGCAATTAATTAGTGGCACAACAAAGAATAAGGATCACAATAACAGCCAAAATTACATGGCGGGAATATACGTACGCAAATAAGATCTACAACGATAATACTTTTCTATTGTCACATACAATTCAAAATAACTTTTTACAAGAACAATATGCTAGCCCAAAAAATATCGCTTTTTTACAGGTAACTAAAAATGTTTTTGATTTATTAGGCCATCATACTTATCACTCTAAGACTAAATGTACTAATAAAAAAGAAAACACGCAATTACACACACCATTTAATGTTAATGATTCATTGATAAAGAAATCAGAAAATAACAAATCTCTCGTTTATGCTTACAAAATTGATAACAATGTAAAAAAATAAAATGACAAAACCAAAAATTAACATTATATCTAAGCTTCCAATAAATAATAATGTAAGTGCTCAAAAATCTAAAGTCAAAAGCATAAGTAATAGTATACGGTTAACTAAGCAGTTTACAGCTAATGAGCATAAACTTTTTACTAGATATAGTAACTTTTAATATTATTTTAGAAAAGTATGTAATACGATTACTTAATAAATGCCACAATTTATTAAAAAATCAAAGCATCTAATTTGTCTAATGACTTAAAGCACAAATTAATACTGGCCTTAACTAGTCTTTCAAGTTTTTTGAATACTATAAATGCAATTTATATTAATATAATTTGATCGTCAATTAAAGATTTTTAGCGTTGTTGGATCTTACATGTAATAAATTTAGCAAGTATGCTGATATTTTTAAAAAATTGCCAACTTTTAAAACAACTCTAAACGATTTACATAAGGCTTGCGATGAATCCCTTTTTTGTTTTATTTTAAATTTTTACGAAATTAAATGTTTATTAATTCGCCTTAATACGAGATTTTATTCTTTTCACGAATCCTTATAAGAACTAAGTGATAATTTTAAGAGAAGAGAAATTAGCAATTAACTTTTTTTTAGGTCATTTTTTTAGCACATATAAATAAATTCTATTTTAAAAACTTATATATTTTGTGTACAAAAAAAAATTTATATAGATATATTTTCAATCTCCTTAATGTATTGTAAAAATGTTTGATACTATCAGCGACTCATTTGTTTGGTAATAAATTGCGCATTATAAAATTTTAAAATGAAAATTTTTAATCAATGCAATATGTACCGTATTTTGAAGGTGATTAATAACTCTATTTATGCATAAACTTTATATTTTCAGAATACACACAATTTAAAATTTTTCAAGATTTTATATCTGCTGGCTAAATTTTATTTACAATAGCTGAATTCAAAAATAGAATTTTTTTCTTAAAATTTTCCGATTTGTTTTTATTTATTGATAACAAGATTAAATGCATATGTTTTAAATACATTTTCACGTGTATCGTAATGTTTTGCTTTTAACACCTAATCAAATAGTCAGATGATTTTGATAAAAATAAATTTTGGGTGGAAATAAAAAATAGAATTCTTTTATTGAAAACTTGTATGCCCAACTTTTGACATAATTACAGCTTCATATCTTTTTTTGGTCTCCAAATCAACTTTTGGTAGATGCTTGAAAGTAAATATCCGAATTGTTAGATAAGTACTTGGCGTTGACCGCGTAATAGTCAATAAAGATATGCCGTCAGAGTTGTATCGTATGCTTCTCTGTAGGCGCCGACTGGTGTTGTAAACGTCCTAGTGTTGCAAGGGGGAGGAATAACATCATTAGGTTGGCACACAATTGCTATAGCTGTGGAAAGTATTTGTATGTTGTATTCGGATACCTTTAGTTAGAAATTATAGTTGAAGACCCGCCTTTAAAAGGGCGTAGCAAGCTATTGAATCTCTAGAATATTTTTCATGTGATGGTAAGAATATATCACGGTCATTAGACCCACGTTGCACAGTCCAACCACAAATCCAGTGAATCCCTTGTCTTAAAGCATAATCTATCAGTTATCGGCCAATAAGTATCCTTTCGGAGGTAAATTAAATCTTCCTAGAATAAACGCCCCTATGGTATGCTAGTGCCGATATTGAGAACAAGACAAGGGAAGTTTTCTAAAAGAAGGATAATGTATTATGTACAAGACAATAAAATTAAACAAAGCATAGAAAGGATTAAACTGAAAATTGGGTAAAAGAAACAGTTAATGCTGTGATGTATAAGATAATCTGAAAACTTTGTAACTAAGAAACGCTATAAGAATCTGACGAACTGACATTTCTTCAAAAAGAACAAATCAACAAATAAATTAAATTACAATTATTATTATTAAACAAAAAATAATCCTTACAGACATATTTTTCATGTTCTATATCTTAAGTCAATTTTGTGTTAACAAACCAAGGTCTTTAAAAATATTTTATCATCATTTTTAAGAATATTAGGTCTACCTGATAAAACTCTTTTCTTATGAGTTCCTATTTTTTTACATTTTACTTTAAATCGTGTAATGGTTGAAGGGAGATCTCGTATTCTTTAGCAGAATCTGATTGTTTCATTTCTTTTTTAAAACATAATTTAAATTTGATTTTTACATCCGGAAAAACCTTTTTAGCCATAGAATTAAATTTAATTTTTTTTATACTTTTTAAAAAACACAGCAAAAAACTTTTCCTCCAAACCATTAATTGCGATTTTTTATAATCGTCATTTTTAATTAGTTTTAAATTAACATATACTTAAAAACTTTAATTTTTTAGATTTGACAAAAGATGTTTATATATTAATGGAAACTATTTGGTTTGTAAGTTAATATTCTCTTAATAATAATATTACATAGTTATAAAAAGATTGCGTTTTTTTTGCCATTACTGTAATAAACAGATATTCATTTGATGAACTTTTGGGCTGTTTTCTACCTCTTTAACAAAACAAATGAGTGTTTAAAATTAAGATTAACATATTTAAAATATGAAAAATTAAGGAAATTTCATCGTGTTATAAACGCATTTTTGCTTTACACCAAGTTCATGTCATATATATTCTAAAAATCCATTAAAATTGCACCATTCTATTGCGTCTTTTATGTTTTATAGTATTTAAAACTTAGTCATTTTGACTCTTTTAAAAATTCGTAAAATTAAGATTAAAAAAACAGACTTTTACTTAACATATAGCTTAATCACTTATTGTAAGTATAAGATTGTTTTATTTTTAAATACTTGATTTGGTGTGCTGTTAATTATCTTATAATATTTTTTATTTTATTGTTTTATTCTTCGACGATTGTATTTTCAATAAAAACTAAAATTTTTCTTGTATAATTTTATTGTATCGCTTTATTTCAAATTTAATTTAAATATGCATTACACTTACAAACCAATAATATGATTTATCTGATTTGAAAAGTTTAAAAGCCTTTGTTGAGATAAAACATGGGTCTAATGATTATACAGTGCGCGTCAAAATCTTAAGACACCCAAAAAAAAATTTTTAAGTGCAAAATCAAATAAGATACAATTCTAAAACCATTATTCGTATTATAACGTTGTAATTAAAATGATATAAAAAATACCTTTTATTAAATCTTATTTTATATATGTCTAATCTGGTTTTTGAATTTTTTTGTCTTAAGAGGTGCGTCAAAATCTTAAGACACTTCCCCCAAAACACGTTTTATAGAATTGTAAATATTACATTCGTTTTATTTTGTTCCAATAAACTACTGCATGATTTTATTTTTATAATCTAAGCTACTTAAAAACGCTTATAAAAAATAATTAGTCTTACAATTAAATGGGACGTCTCATTTTACTCAAATTTAAAATACAAACATATGCTTAAAATGATAATATCTGTTATTAAATATTTTTTGATTAAGAAAAGTGAATTTAAATTTCTTTAACTTTTCTCAGGGCCATGATGGTTTTGATGTTTTTTAAAAAAAAAGTAATTTAAAAAAAATAAAACTTATTTATTGATTTTATCACCTCTTTCTTTAACAACGTCGATTATACGCTTCTGCATTCCATTAACATAGTTTAACAGATTTTCGGGTGTAATACTTGACCAGGCTACTAATATCGCAGAATGTAAATCTTGAATATTATTAAATTGTTTCCCGTCTCTATAAATCATTCTCGACATATCTGCCCATAAATTTTCAACAGGATTAAGATCTGGACTTAATGGTGGCCAGTTCAT